AAGACCACACCACTGACCAGCTGATAAACAGAGAAGCAGCAGGGCTGTGTATACACCACAGATACTGAATAACACGACACAGGTGGAGTCACACCTTTTACCACACCTGTGCAGCAGGTGGACATGAGTGGTTTTGTGCTCAGTCTCTGAGGGTAAGGAGGCTAAATGCACTGAACTTTGTGTGGATCAGTACGAGTTCATTGTGTTGTTGAGCTTAAAGCCATCGCACGGACGTCACTGTGGCAGCCAGATGCATGCTGGGAAAGGAGGCACCAAATATAAAAGTGTTATTTGAATAAATGCTGTGAGACCAAAGAGTAGAAACAGACGAACTCTCTGCTGATCACAGCAGGTGAAGCTTCCCTGTAACAGAGTCATGTGGTGTTTCTCTGGGTTTACAGGGCGAGGGCGGCGGTCAGCTGGTGGTGGTGGTCGTCTGCGTCGTGCTGGGGCTGGTGTCTCTGCTCGTCCTCGTAGGACTCCTGGGTGAGTTTAGTTAAACTGTCCTCACAGTTACACGTTTGTTTATACACATTTCCAGACAGCTCGTGCTGCACAAACAGCCCAACAATGATGCCATTAAAACAAAACCTAAGACTGCTGAATAAGACCAAATGGTCATAGTGTAAAGAACAGAGTATAAAAATGTGTCTTTAGAAGTGATTTAAATATTTAGGGGAAAACTACTCCAAAGCCAGAGATCTATCGCCACGAGATCTGAGTTTAGTCCGAGGGACGGACGGCTTTCACTCTGAGCTGGACTTCGTGTTTTTCTGGAGCTCCGACAGGTATGAAGGGCTCGGGTAAAAGTTTGATCCTGTAGGAAACTGGAAGCCCGAGCAGAGAAGCACAAAGTAAAGGAGGACAAAGAGGAAGTTCCCCATCCATGATCTGGTGTTTTTAGCTGAGCCAGACAGGAAGCAGGGAGGTCATGTGACGCAGCGCGGTTTAATAAACACAGTGAATGGTGTAGGGTTTGATAACAGGGACACGTCCTGTCAGCTCCTCTCAGATCAGCTGATTGTTTTTATTTTGTACAACAATCGTTGGATATTTGATGGAGCGATGCAAAAGGACATGAGGAGACAGGAGAGTGAAACCAGACTGTTTAACACCAACATGGAGCTCGAGTGAGCGGGAAGGTTAGAGACACCACAGCGCCCCCTGCAGGAGGCGAGGCCGCTGAGATGGTGCGGAGGCCGAGCTGAAGGTGTGAACGCTTCAACAGTTTGTTCACCTCTGCAGACACGCCCGAGGAGCTCCGCCTCCTCCTGAGAACCAGATGTTGGGGTCTGTGTCAGAGCGAGTGCGTGGGCTGCATCGCTCATCATTCCTGAGAATCGTGCGGTAGACCCTCGTGCTGACGTCAGCGCCCCCGCTCTGCAGCAGCAGCTCTGATGGAAACGCTGAGCTGCATCAGGGAACACGTCCGTGTGACGTGACTCGTCATGTCTGCAGTGAATCGTGTTCAGATGAAGGTGCGCGTCAGGGCCTCCTCTGGTCCTCCCACGGGGGCGGAGCATCTGCTGCACGCATGAAGCTCCAGTCTGCTGCTGTGTGCATGCAAGACAGGAAACAACGTTAAGATAAAGAAACTGAAGGACATTCTGAGCTCATTCAGCTCCTCGTGAGCTGTGATCTGGACCCAACATGGCGTCTGCAGCGTTGACCTCATCGATCATCAGGAGCGCGTCTCAGTGCGTTGGTCTGTGTGTTTCTCGCATTGGGCGGTCAGCGCGTCGCTGTTTGGGGCTCGGTCGCTCAGCTCGGTGCTGATTTGTTCTTTTTGTGTCACAAAGGTGAACGTCTCGTCATTAACGTGTTTCTGCTGTTTTGTGTCTCTGCAGCGAGAAGACTGAAGCTCCTCCCCACAGTGTGAGTGCACGATCTTTATCTTTGTGTTTCTGAGTAACTAACGTGTCACCTCGACCATTGCGGACGCTGCTGAGAAGTCGTGACTCATCTTCTCTCAGCCTTCATCGCGTGTTCAGACTGAAACTGAGGTGAGAGAACCACAGAGTTCAGACCAGGCTGAGGAAACTTCAACGGCGGCTCGCTCGACCTTTACGGCCATCAGAGTGGAATCATTTAGAGCTGACGCCTGTGTCAGAGCTCAGCACCACACCCTCCACCCCTCCGCTACCAGAAACACCGTCCATCAAAGCCCTGAACAGAGTCCGCCATTATGGCGTCCAAACTCAAGAACAAGCGCGACACTACCAAAGCTCCAAAGGTTGATCCACATCCTCAGTGTTTCCATCACTGCTGGAGCCTCAGAGCACGGGGAGGAAGCTCCTTCATCATCATCATTAACACGACTCGTTAATGCTTCATTTGAACTGCAGCGTAATCAGAGTCAC